ATTTAAAGTTTGTAAGGATTAGAAATCAGGTTGACCTGTGGTCGTAGATTAAAAATAGCCATGGTGAAGGTAAAATTATTACGTTAAATAATTGTTTTTATACGAATTAAATATTGATTCAACGTTTATTTGTTGCAATACCGTGAAATAAATTGTATTATATATTTTTTCTGTTTACACTAAATTTAAAGTTCTGTTTACATGTTATAACAATTAGAATGTAGACGTTTTGCCGGTTTTTCCTCTGTTAATTATGTGTTTATAAATCATTTCAAACTAAAGCAACACCATGCCCACCGTAAATTAAACCGTCTCAGTAGTTTACCGTAATTAATAATCTATTTTCGGAATTTATACGAGAATTTTTGAATTTTAATACTTTTTTCATATTTAGAGTCTCATCTTTAGATTATATCTATTACATATTCGCTAATTAATAAATGAAAATTTAGTATCCTTCGATAACTAACGAACAAAAGATATAAATATTTTATTAAATTTTTAAATGTCTTAATTTCCACGTACATTTAAATACCAAAGTGCATTTGGTTCTGAAGTTAAGTCGTGTAATGGGAAAGCTTCGTCAACGATCGCAGAACTTTGCCAAATAACTCCTAGTCCTTGCAACATTATTTCGTTTTCGAGGAATCGACTTAAAAATTATGAGGTCGTAGCGTGAGCAAGCTTTGCAAAATTTCCGACTTCACTGAACCGTCTAAAGAAGTCGTTAAGGATATTACGAAACTCGTAGCAATTCAGTGATAATACAATTAGCTGGGAGTAAAACATAGTTCGGATCATGGCAGTCTAAGAAATAAAGTATATAATTATAAACGTTTGTGCTGTTTACCAAGGGAAACGTTTGCTTTGAATTTCAGTCTTTCAATCGTTCGCTTTGCATCCTGATTAAGAACTAACGACTAACGATATTGCTTAACTCCTTCAATTATACGAGTTTTCTACATCTCTTGGATGTATAAATACTCGAGAGGTTGAGCTTGAAGTTGAATTTATGATAAAAATTACTGAAATGAGTAAATCAGTATTTTGTACTGTGGGAAATATTAATTTATGGCTGGAATAAACGTACTTTAATACAGCAATTTATTTTCTTTCATTCGAGCATGATTTATATACATAAAGTTACAAAAATTTGATGAATTCGAAAATTGCGAATTAAGTATGATTTATATATCGCCAGTATGAAATTTTAAAAATTCTATGAATAGGAAAATTGCAAATTAAGTGGGATAATACTGCATTTCATGTTTCACTGATTAACACTAGGTTTATGGGAATTTCTTACGTGTCAAATTGACGTGTGAACGCACATTTTCTTTAAAAAACAACTGATTTTATAAAAAAAACAACATACACTATTAAGTTATAAATAAAACTATGTGATATATATTTATATAAAATTGTAGTATCGGGGCCTCCGTACCTAAATAGGAAGAGGGAGTAGTTGGCGTAGTGCGCAAAGCCTCGGCTTGCTAAGGGTTCGATTCCCGTTGGGTCCCTCAAAATTTTTCCGTCGCTTCCTAAAAAATTTATAATGTGTAGGAAGTGTGAGAAATGTGTAAACGGTTTCTGTAATTTTCTTTGTGAAATTTGAAATGCGTCAAAATGGCGCGTCTAGTAAACCTAGTGTTAAGCAGCGGATATTAAGATTCACCAAAAGAAAGTTCGATCGAATTCGAAACGACTTACAAATCCGAAAAAAGGGATGAAATGGGGTAAAAAAAAAGAGTCACTACAGACGAATTTCTAAATAGGATAGAAAAAGAAGGCGAGACAGGGAATAGAGATACATAAGCAGAAATGCGAGAGAAAATACATGCTATGAATAAGAAGAAGAAGAAGATGAAAAAAATGGAAGTAGATAAAAATCAGAAAAAGGAGACATCGCAGAAATACTAAAAACGCTAGCGGGTTTAGCCGAAGAAGCTCGGTGCTTGAGAGTTGAAATGAGACGAAACAATAGTTCAATGGAACAAGAGACGAGTGATATGAAAAAGGACGACGAGGGAGAAAGAAACGCAGCGGGAAAATGAGAAGAAAGCGACGAGACGGAAGAATTAAACAACTCGAAGTCAAGATGAATCAAATCGGGGAGGGAAAGGTTTGCTATAATAACGGAACGATTGAACGAAAACTGGAAGCGCTAGAAGGAGATCGGAAGTCGACTTAAACGCAGAAGTGAAGAGAATGAGAAGAATGATCGAAAAACAAGACAGAAGAAATGGGAAGAATAACGCGATAATTAAAGAGTTAATGGTAAATAAAGGAGGCATAAAAGGAATGATTCTTCGGAGAGAAAATGACAGCCATAGGCGAGGTAATATGGCCAAAATTAATGCACGATCGAGGAAAAGAAGAAATAACAGCTGTATCGAAGAACTGAGAGAACAGAGAGGAAATAATAAGGAGTAGATATTACCCGAAGAGTAGCACAGTGTTTGTAGACGATCATTTGACTGAAGCAAAGCGAGAAATACGGAGGAAGATATTGGAAGCTCCGTGAGAAGAGAGGGAAAAAGGAAGAGAAGTAAAAGTGGGATATCAAAAATTAAAGGCAGATAGAAAGTGGATAGGACGGGTTGAAGAAACAAAGGAGAGGTCAATTGATAGACGATATCAAGTTTTGCAATAACTCCACAGAGCAGAAATAGCTTTGAAGAGGAGAAGGAGAAGGAGGAACAGAGGTGCAGGCAAAATGGTTTTTTGGAACATTGCGGGAGTATTAAACAAGGATAAGGATTTTGGGAACTATATTCGGAACTTTGAATTTGTGAGGCTTATGGAAACTTGGGTTGAGGGGCAGGGATGGGAGAGGCTTAAAACAGGTTTTCTGCGGATTTTAAATGTAAGTGCCGATATGCGCGGGAAGAAAAGAAGAAACATAGAGGAAAAGCGTGAAAGCGTGAGAAACGAACAAAACTGAAGCGTGAACGTGCAATGTACTGAAAGCTACAACAGAACTATGGAATCAAGGTTGGAACAATTCCCAAACTAACGTAAATGACACCAATCTAACAGTTTTTACGAACCGAAAGGACCAAGTAACATTGACTAAATTAAGAATAGGCCACACTAATATGACACATTCTTTCTTTGTCACCAAATCAAACTCAACGATGTATACAACATACAAATCTCTACTGAGCATATCTTAGGGTCAATGACCCAAATGCTGTGTTTAAAAAACACGATATTATTATTATATTGGATGATCGCAAAAGTTCGTGGCCGATTTGAAAGTAAAGCACAAGCGGTGTGTGCAAAGGCACGTTTCATTTCCAAATGAAATGAACAATTATTTGAACATGGTAACATGGCGCTGAAACAAAGGTCTGTGCCGAAGTGCGATAAGGTTCCCGCCACCTCTGAAAATCGGGCATGAACTTTTGCAATCGTCCAATATAAAACGGAAGAAAATAAACATCAACGCTGCTAATTTCTTCGTTTCAAACAGTACTACGTGAATTTAAGTCATACGTAGACTTGTGTGAAAACTGAATGACGATATTGATCAAAGGGGAATATGTATTTTGTTGCACGTCGCGTGCCTCGTTACAACCCAACACCAATTACGATCCTTTTTTTCACGGGTTTATCGACCGGTGCTCGAATGTCTTATGACTGGACGTTTCGTGTAACGCGGGTGCTCTGACAAAAAGCCGACAACGAGAGCGGCGCGACGAACGTGTACTCTGAGTGACAAGTGAAAAAGGCAACCATTAGAGGACCCTTGAACGCGAGCACGCGATTCTGTCGCAACGGTTCGATGTACGTGTGCGATTAATTATCGATTCAAATTTTACTCGCGTTCGATTAATCATGTCGGTGGTGCACGTGTACCTGAATTTCATTTCTATAGATTTATTCGGCGAAATTTCTGGAAAATCGAATACAGGGAAAGATTGCACCCTCGTTCATCCTCCGAATCATTTTCAGCGACGAACCAATGTTTCATTAATAACCAACGATTTTAATTGTTCCGTCAATTTATACGCACCGATACGATAATGTTTCCCGTTTTCCGACGATAATGGGACGAAAGTGTCGGTAGTTATGATTTCGAGAGAATTTCAAACGTTTGCTGTTGTATGAAAATTTGGAAATATTGCCTTTATGGAATTTATTACATTACGTGTTATTAAAAAATAAGACAGTGGAAAATATTTCAGTTGTTATCATTTTGCATAAATTATAATTGAATTTGCGAATCTGAATTCTAGGTGGAAGTAAAAAATTGAAGGACATAATTAAGAAATTATTAATTACAGTAATTATTGTAAATTGAACGTCAAGCAAAGTATTAAGAATATAACTGCTCTTAAAATTTTCCGAAAGTTAATTATGTAAAATCGAATGTTAATTAAACAATGGCGAAATGGAATCTTTGGGAATTATTAAATTTCTGTTAAGCATTTTTCTCTTCAAATTTCATGTAAAGGTACAATTTAATGTGACAAACGAATACAATTTGAAATAACAATCATAAGCAACAACACACGAAGAATTTATGATGATTATACGAAAGTAAATTTATCGTCCATGAGGTGTGCAAAACTAGAGAAACCAGGTAAAAAGTTACAGAAAACATAAAACATAGAGAAGCAATACCCGATGAGAATGAAAAATAATCAACCGGTAGACTACAAATTTATCGATCTATTTGCAATTTTTTAATTGAATTTATCGAAATTATTCCAGCAGTTTCTGATAAATTTGCATTACTAATGAGTTATCGGTTATTGATCACGTCACTTTCCTCAGACACGTTTTTATTAAAATTCCAATTCCGTCCCGGGGTGCATAGTCAGGTGAATAATAATATCCTGACTAAAGGAAATTCTTTTAATCGCGTGCCTTTGACATGACTACGACAATCATTTAAAACCAGCGAAATAAAAATTCCCAATATATATTCTCGCACGGCTACATTCGTAAATTAATAAAAAAGGAAGCGACGGAATAATCGATTTGCGAGAAAGACAGGCGTACAAGGTTTCGCTAGTGAAGTACTAAAATATTCGAGGAAGTGTGCCAACTTTTCCGTATCAACGTTGTTGTAAGTTCTTATATTTGGCAGAGTAAGATGTACTTAGGTATGCACAATAGTAGTAGCGAGTAAAATTGAGCTTATTCAGGAACTGTGTACATACGTAGATTTGTGAAAATTAGTTCAGAACTCGTGAAAAGAAACAATGCAGTGAACTTAAAAATATAAAGTAATTCTAGTTAACGTGTGCCTCGAGGCGTCTAAAAATAGGCAGAGTTCGGGAATTTTTTCACAAGTAACTGCTGGATGAAAAATCTCAATTTTTTTAGAGGATGTAAACGTAACTTTCAGCTGTCTTCTCCAATTTTTAGAAGGTAATACGTTACAAAACGGAGGAGTTATTTGATAATTGTGAAACATCGATTGGTAACATCTGAAATAGAAGAATCTTTTTGTAACGTCCCCCATTTTGTAACATTTGTACTTTCCAAAAATCTTAGAAAAAGGCCGAATATTGCATCAATATCCTCCAAAAAAATTGAAACGTTTCATTCAGTATTTACCATAAAAGAAATTCCCAAACTTCGCCTATTTTTACACGCCCCAGGATAGCGCACCGCCCTAAAAAAAGCAATAGAAACAACACTCTCAGTTCCATTAAAAACAAGTAAATTTCCAATCGTTTACATTCACATTCGCTGTGAATTGACAGAAAAAATATCCATGCAACGCCCAATTAATTAAACAAAGCCGCAAACATTAGCGTATGTATACAATTAGCGCGACGTTCGACGAATGCCTACATTTGCCTTGGCGATATCGCGCGATATTCTTCCACACCTCTCCGTTTATTTACCCAACAAAATTATACAATGAAAATAACCTCGATACTAGTCTATAGCGTTGGCGGAATCCCCTTAACGGTGTTTATTGCTTTTGGCAGAGTGCGCGGCGAAGAATGGAGGATCGGTGGTGGAACACCATTCGTCTTCTTACTGGCAATCCTTAGGCCAGCCTTACTTCGACAACACGACGAAGAGGGAAACCACGACGACCGTCGGCCAATCCGCTTACCTGCACTGCAGGGTGCGCAATCTTGGCGATCGTGCTGTAAGTTTCGAGTTTCCTTATTGGACTGACCCCCCGGTGATGTAATAAGAACGCGAGAGTCCAGCGAAGTCCTGTTACACGGATGAGTAGCCAGCTGATGAAACGGTCCGGTTGTCCTCCTTCGTCCACCTACCGGTACTTTTCGCTCCGACTTTTCCCTTCCGTTCTATCGATCGGAGATTTCCTGTCCGTTTCTCCCGCGATTCCTCTACCAGATTTCAACCCTCCCGACGACACGTCGTGTCCTTTTTCCTTTTTCGCGCTCTTCCCCGCTTGGGAACGTCGCGTGGGAAAGTGAAAGCTGATAAACCAACGTTTAATTTTTCGCGTGTTCTCCGGACCAAGTGAATTTCAATTTGCTGGCGCGTTTGGAGCCGCACTTGACATCGGCGCGGGGTAATTTCGCGGCCATTCCTTTCAACCGCGTTACTTTGGGAAAGAACTGTTATGGCTAATTAGTAGTTTTTGAAGAAATTTCAGTTAATTCGTGAAACATCTGTTACGGGATTTCTGAGAAATTTCTAAGAGAAATAAATTTATTTTGAGAGAGATGAAAATTAGTGGAAATCTCAATGACGCGTCCGTACTGAAGTAGAAACCGGGAAGAAGTTTAAGAGAATGCTTTACGGTTATTCAACAATTACATGAAATACAGATTTTTGTATCTGTGGCCTGTACGTCGTCGTCAACAAACCCTTACCGAACTCTCTCTTTTCCAACTCCTTCAGATTTTAGTTTCCATTCTTTTGCCCCTCCCCGGGTTAAGACTTGCCTTCGTCCTCGAGTAGCCTAAGAAGCGCACATGTGGCATCCAGGTTCGCACGAGGACGAACGAATTTTCCGTTTCCACCACTTTCTCCACTTCTATCTTTACCTATCGCTACTCCTGTCTCCCTGTCCTAACAATATAAAAACCCAGTACGCCTACACCTCCAAACAGTTTGTTCCTCTACCGACCATCGCGACGTACCCGCCGAACCGCTGCCGCCGGGACAATTAACAAAGTAAACGATTGTATTTTCTGGACCAATTGTACGTCGACCATACACTTATACTTTAATAAATTGAGGTGAAAACGGTGTAACGACGTACCTCACCCACCTCAGTATCGATGAATTTTAAAGGGAAAACTATGGAAAATTTAATTGCACATAGGGTGTAACGACGTTCCTCACCCACCTCAGTATCGATGAATTTTAAAGGGAAAACTATGGAAAATTTAATTGCACATAGTGAAACGCTGGAAAGTAATTTCATGAAAGATTTTTACATTTGCTTCAGTTATCAATTTCAATTTAAATTCCTACGCTTCGATTTTAGGACGAAACTTTGAACACGTAAATTTTACCCTTTGTTTACGTCTTATCACTTGACATGCAAAATTCCGTTTCACCTGGAAACGGCGGCATATTCCATAAGAAACTGAAGGTATCGAAATATTATTCTTGCAAAAGCTGTCTGGTATGGAGCAGTTCGAATTTATTTATTTTACACGAAATACTATATTTTCATTGAGACGAGTTCCACGAGGAGTAACATGTCACTCGGTTTTACAAAAAAAAAGGAAAAATTGTAAAGTGCACGTCGTGAAACGGTATTAATGGCTCCACGAATTTACGTCCTTCCATAAAACTGAATGGCTTTCCAATTAAAACGGACACACTGTATGCTATTATAAAATTATCGATCACGTTGAAAATTTGAATTGAAAACTTTTGAATAGTTTACTAGCGTGGCTGCAAGCATTCGAATATTGAACTTCCTGCGACACGTAATTAGACGAGTTCGATTGCGTAATTGGCTACATTCGTTAAGCAAGAAATGACATAACGATTCGGTAATGGTCGCAAGACCTTCGAGGATTAATTAAATAAGTCCGGTGTAACAGAGGATAACTATAAAACAAGCTTTTAGTTAAGTGTCTGCTGCTTACGATTAAACATATCGCAATCATACTTCAACTTTTTCACTGCTTTATCACTTTTTTATTCCTTTTTTCATACTTCTTCAGTCCTTTTCCTCTCTTTTATTTGACGAAGTCGTAAATTCTACATCTCAAATTTTTTAACGAATACATCTAACGGTTTCTTTTTGCTAAATACATATGTTTGAGCTTGGCAAATTTTTATTCTGTATTATTCTGCGTTTTATTTGATTATAAATGCTGTTAATGAATATTTGATTAAATAAGGGTAATGAAATGAAAAGTTTGAAACTCCTTTGCTTAGTGTTCTTTTTTACATTTATTCTTCGGTTATTAGGTATTTTTCGTTCGTATTAAATGTAATATAACGAGTACGGATAATACTTCGTTTAGAAATAGCAACTTTTATTAAAAATATTTCCTCCATTATCGACATTCGAATCAGTTGGAAAATTTTCATTTGCATATTATGGAACATATTGTACGTGAATAATATTGCTTTTTTACCTTCAAACAAGAGAAGTTTGGCTTTATTTTTGCTGAAACACACTACCAGCCAAAAGTTTGGTATTACGTACCTGCCAATTTCCATCAATATTGAATCTGCTACTAATTTACTGTACCAACGAATGGTAAAAATTTTTTAAAGTTGCTAATTTTTTTCTGGAAATTTTTTTATAACTTGCAATGCACAGTGATCCCAAACTTTTGGTAATATATACTTGCATGAACGATATGAACAACTCCTAGCAATGTTCTTTTGTTACAACCGTGATTTGAGTTCTTAGTAAATGTCGGTCTGCATTTTATTTCGAATGGAACGACGGTGACAATATTTTTTGCATTTAGTTAATACGATCTGTTACATTTAAACGATACAATAATCCGGAACGAACGTCCTTCAGGAGCAATGGAAACGAATATCTTTCCCGATAAATGAAAATTTCGAACAATTACAGAGCACGAAGCTTAATCCGTGTTGAAAGCTAAAAATCAATAGGTCTTGTCAAATGCGTGTAACTTCAGTTGTACCTAATTAAATTATGAACAACATTTTTGGCGGAAACAATTTCGTTCGTTCTAGTCGTGATTTGTACGTGAAATTTGAGTTGATTACGTTTCGTAGATAAAGTAGATATCGATTTAATTCGCTGTAGGTCGATGAAATTGCAGTTGAAAATTTGAGAAATAAAGAAATATGTCGGAGTTAAAATATGTTAAAGTTAATGTTAAAATATGCAAGACGATGATTCTTGATAATTGTGATTTCTTTTTAGCAACAATGATCCGGTTTGAAATTTGTTAACTTCACTTCAATTAACCCTTTTGCTCCTGGAGTAAGAAATCCGTGTATGTTTAGAAATACCACAGGAGAAGCAGGTAGATGTGAAGTTCTATTAAAAAATTTCTAGTCGCCACATTTATCGAGATATTCAGATAAAATTTCCACAGTATCTAGAAATTTTCTATAACTATTTATAGAAGAAGAATTCTTCGATATCGGCTGATATAAATAGCCCTTTTCTAGTAGAAAATTAGACGCGTCTCTCAGACTACCTTGACAATTTTATTTATTAAACTGCTACGTTGTAAAAATAAGTTTAATATAATCATTTTACACACGTTGTTTGTTAAGGCTATTTTACAGTATTTCATAAAAACTTAAAAAATTAGGGTTTCTTTTTATATTAAAAAAACGTTACTGATGTACGTAATAAACAAACAATCGACAAAAGCCGGAAGCAATTATAAAACAGAAGCATTCGGTAACGACGAAGAAAACGGTGTAATGCTCGACCAAAGTAGATGTAATTTTGAAATACGGAGAATTCGTGGGATCGTTAAACGTGGGATCGCGTTATATGAAAACAGTAGTCGCCGTGTACCATAATTGATCTCAAAGATAGCGAAGAAACCCTAATTTCGAAGAGCAGAAAATTTTTGGTAAGCTACTCATACAAGTTTCGAATCCATTCGATCATTGTTCGAGTCTACTTGAAAAGTACCTTTCCCATTCCTTCAAGTACCCCTAAAAGACTCGAATCTGTCTCGCTTAAGTTCGAGTATACTTGAAAGTATGTACTGTTTTTATTTTCCGTGATCCAATCAGCGAAGGTTCGAATCTACTCGAAAGGTACTCCATTCCATCCCTAACCACGTACTCCTAGCATACTGAACTAGCCTCAGCAGGCGTCTTATTGCCAACAGAAAGTGGCTAGTTTCGCGGATAAGTGTACGGATCAGCGTTGGAATAGTGGCGTTACTCGTTATCGACGTTACTCATGCATCACCGCATGACGCACAGGAACCCGTCAGAATCCAATCACCGATCGTAATCGACGATAAATCAGATTTCGCTTCGCCTCGTCTCCACTACCAGGCCCCAGTATGCCGCGCGTTGTATGGTCCTCTCTATCTGCGCGAACCCAGGCGTTTATATTCGCAGGCGTAAAATCAACCTGGCAACACTCGGTGCATTGTCGTTCGACGCGACAGCTTCGCGCCATTCGTTGTTTCGAACGATATCCGGAGGCCACTAAAAAACCATCGAAGAAGGAAATATTCGGGGATCGCTTTTTCCCGGGGAGACAGTTATTGATAAGTGGCTTGGTGCTTCTATAAAGCATTTTTCCGATGGGAACGAGCGAGGCTAGCTAGCTAGCGAACAGAGAATTAGGTTACCCTTTTTCTCGGAGAAATGCGAAGGGAGCTGAACTGTTTTTCTTTTTTTTTCTTTTTTTTTCTCGGGTTAAGCTTCGTTTTTGAAGAGAAAATTTATCAGTTTCGGTCAATTAAGTCTCCGGGGTTTCGAGTGAATTAATATTTCGTGTAATTGATGCATGTTTAATTGACAATGAAATTTCGACGAGTGTCAATTGACGAACGGTGCGAAATTTGGGAATTACGCGGTCGAGCGTGGAATCGTTCTGGATTGAATTTATTATGAATGTGAATATGTATTCGTATTTTTTGTTTTTTTTTTTTTCTTTGAATCTAGGACAGGTTTATTGTAATTGATGATGTGGGTGAAAGTACATAGTATTATTTTTCTAACTTGAATTATTGGACTTGCTTGATTTTATATTAGAAACTCACATAGTTTTGCATTATTTAATAAACAAAATTTGGAAAGAGCCCTCCTCATAAATTTTTGTTTCTCGAATCGGTACAAACCTAATTTAAATTTACTTATATTCACCTAATTAAATCGAATTTAAATTCTTTTTTTCAAAATATAGTTTTCCAACGGTGCTGCATTTCTGCGGAAAAAATTAACAATTCGACGAACTTGTGGACAATATTCTAGTAAAAGAAATTTCGCAATTATTACTCGTAACACTTTTATTCTTAAAAAATTGAGAAAAGAAGCTGAAAGTTGCGTTTACCTTCTCTGAGAGAATTGAAACTTTTCACTTAGCAATTACCTATCAAAAAAATTCCCAAACTTACACTTATTTCTAGACGCCTCAATCTAGCATACACCCTTAAAGTAACGAATTTATTCGACACCGTTTAGGGACAATTTTCCATGAAAATTTCAAGCCTCGTTTAAGTCGTTCTGCCTACAAAAGCAGTTTACAATTAATTTGAACCGTAGCTAAAGCCAACAAACTGTAAACGCAACGGTACACGGTATTTCTACGTTGTCCTTGGGCAGCACGTAACAAGCGAGCGCGTCTTGCTACAATTAATTTTCCGCGAGGACATTCGGGGATATCAATTCTCCGTTCTCAACACCGTTCAACACGGAGAATAAACGTTTCGCCGATAAGCCATCCATTTCCCATGGTTCCAGCGTGCTCCGTGTTCTAATTATATCTGACCGAAAGTTAAATTGAACCGTGAAATTTTTTGTCGTGAAAAATTATGGGCTCGTTGTCCGGCCGTGGATAATTGAGTTCGATGAAAGCAACGACCGTGCAAGAAGATTATTGCGGATCAGTTAAATGTTTTCACGTCCTGCATGCTTTTGTTCCAAAGGTCTCTCTCTCTCTCTCTCTTTTTCCTTTTATTTCTCCTATTGCTGGTCGCCCCCCTGTTTTGTCGTTCTCAGCGACAAAACGCGATTTTCCGCGATTCAATGTAATACGAAATTCGGCGGATAAAGCGCATCGAATCGAGGGAAGATTTTCTCGATAATTCTGTGTTGGATTTACCAAAGCGTAGAAACATAAATTCCATCTCTGTTCCGTTCCGCTTTATCACATAAATATTGAGTTCGTTTTTGTAGAATTATTCGAGCGTAACGGTAAAAGATTATAAGGATTTATTGTCGTTGATACGAGCAGCTCGCGAGAAATTTATTGTTTCGCAACATTTGATCGTTCCTTGTTTTTTTGATTTTCGTAATTGGTCCTCTGACGAGGATTTCGAGTTTTCAAATCGATGTTGCGTATAGAGATGCGTAAATCATGTGAAAATTTCATTTTAATCGAATTTGCGTACTTATTGTGCGGTGCTCAGGAGTTTGCCCTCGGGGCAGCTCACGGGCAAAAAGGGCACTTCGCTCGTTCAACCTTTGACGTTCACCATCAAGCGATGAATTAGAGTAGATGTGATCATTTAGGTCAATAATAAAAATGCACGTGAGCTAGTTTTATGTTATGTCCACTACATTCCTTCCACACGCAATCTTTCCAGCTCTGCATAATAAATACTGTGCGGTGCTCAGGAGTTTGCCCTCGGGGCACCACAGGGGCAAGGGCACATTGCTCGCATCGCTTAAATCTCACGTCACGCAATTTTAATTGATCCGATTCGTCTATGTGATCGTGTAGGTCAATAATGACAATACACGTGCCCCATTTTTATGATTGTGTTAGAGAATCAGACCTGCATACCTTCCAGGAGCAAAATCCTGAGCTCCGCACAGTATATGAGTTCATGTTCACGTCAATTATTTTTGTTACTTAAAAATGTGAGTTTATTGGTTACACTCGTAACGTTTTGTAAAAAGTAGATCGTCCTCAAAGGGCTGAAATAAGAATTGTATGATTTTCGTGTTAAGGTTGCACTAATTATTTCAGAAATATTCAGTTTTGCTGATAGCATCTTTTGTATTTGTGTCAGCGTCAACGAGAATTTAACTAACTAATTGCTGTTTCTCATCCTTTACAGCGCAGCCTTCTTACACACACTTTGTTATATTTTTGTGACCTGCTGAGCTGTTATTTCAATTCCTTTTTATCACTTGAACAACCATATGCTTCTGTATTTTTGTTAATTAGAAACTGCAATACAACTTTACTGCATATTTACTTAACACACAGAGCATAATACTAGTTTCGATATGTAGAACTGCTCCACTGTGTGCATGAAAAATTGTACTAATTTAAAAGTTACATTACTTTTCTAAAAGAAGCTTTAGAACGACGTATACTCGATGGAACACAAGGTGAACAAATTCGTGGACATAAATTGTAACGAATGTCTAATTGACAACGTCCAGAGAAAAGTTTTATTTCTATTTACCCAAGTTTATCTTATTCTGAGCAGTTACAATGCAATGAAACAGCTTCCTATTAAAATTTTTTAATCACATACTAATGTATATATTCTGCACAATCTTTTCTTTTTAAGAAAAAACACTTTGGGCACACTAGAGCTGCTACACAAATTCAATTCAAATTAGTTACACTAAATGTTCTTAACGTTCATTTTTTCTCAATACCAGCGCAATAGCTCGACATAACTTCCAGCGATAGCAAAGAAATTATGCAGCTAAGGAAACATATTGCAATTAATGAGTCGTTTAGAATTAGGGCCAAGCTTTCTTATAAATTACTCTCGATACACCGGGTGTCCCAGTTTTCAGATAACGTAAACGAAAAAAAAAAAAACAATTACAAAGCATAATTGCCGAGGTGAGTAATTACATTGGAAATGTTGTGGAAGTGATAAATCGTAGAGTATCAATTTTCCATTTATTTCTGAGGCTGTCCACGTAATGATTGCTTTGGTTCATTTGCAGGTCTCGTGGATCAGGAAGCGAGATTTGCACATTCTGACTGTAGGAATCTTAACTTACACGAACGACCAGCGTTTCCAGTCGTTGCACAGTGACGGAAGTGATGAATGGACCCTGAAGGTTACTTCACCGCAGGTTCGAGATAGCGGAACGTACGAGTGTCAGGTCTCGACCGAGACGAAAATCAGCCAGGCTTTTAACTTAAGCGTAGTAGGTCAGTATACTTGACACGCGTTTGTATGTATACAATTTCAGCCTTATATGGAATTCGTTTCTGTGCATATCACGGAGCGAAATTCTGTCAGTTTATTCCGATGTAAAACCTGTTAGAAAAGTCTGAATGAACGAACGCTCGAGTGGGCCATGTGCCTTCTTTTAGCTCTGCCTCGAGGGAAGGCAAGGATGTCCTCTGGACGAGAAATTTTGTCGAAGGACATTGTTGTACGAGCCGTCGCTGTGTTGAGTCTAAATACAGTTCTCAGTTCTCATAACCGCCCACGATTATTTGTTCGATCAATCGATCACCGCCTTTATCTATCACTCCCGCGTCCTATTTTCTTACAAACGCTTTTCAGTATTGTGCGAGCAGTGCTGCTGTCCGTGAATAACTGTTTTATTATTTGGCAAACCTGAAAATTTACCTAACTTGATCAACTTCAAATCTAACTTCGACAAGCTTATCGGTTTGTTTACGGTGAACGATTTGTTAAAATGTGTTCTTCTTTTTGGGCCCTAGGCATACAAATGAAAATCGAGACCATTTTTCAACGGTCATCAGAAATATGAATTTTTCCCAAATTTTCTCCAGTCAAGTAAATACTATGTCACAGTGTATGACTTAATTTCACAATTGACCCACTCAGAAGCCAAAATGATTAACTCCACTTTTCGAAATTCTTGCAATTTTAGTATCGAAGCAGAAAAGAAAACACAATTTTTGAAGTTGTGATAATTTATACTACTATAGTTTACCAAAGTTTAGCAAAATAGCCAGCAAAGTATCGACAAAAGATACCGCCCCAAAGTGAAATTTCTATTGCAATAAAAGTATCACTACTGTTACATATTTTTCAATTAAATTTACAAGTCGAAGCCAGATTTATTTATTTCACGCAATAATAACAAACATCTTTATACGAGCCCTAGGCACGCGTCTATTTCCCCTAATTTTTCGTAAACGCGGCTCTGTCTGTTCTCCAAACCTCAGCAAAGCTCTGCCACATCCTAAGACGATTAAAACGACATTGAAAGCGCGAAATTATGCAGCACGATTGTCGAATGAATATTCCACGTGCTCACTTATCATTTAGGCACTTCTGTTTTTTTTTTTTTAATTTCAAATTTAAGTAGCTTACGGGTTCCCAGAAACCTTCTCTTCCATTTTCCCTAACGTCGCGCTAGTCGCAATTACTCTCAATTTTCTTATCCCGTCGCTTTTAATTTCACTATCGTTTAATTCTTATCGTCGTCCATGTGTAATTAATAAAAGTTCGCAAACGAGCAACGATAATCGCGGAAATACAGCGAGCTAACGCTGCGTCAATTGTGTTGGCAGTGTCCGAGGCGAAGATCAACGGGAACTCAGAGCGGTACATCAAAAGCGGAAGCGACATCAATCTGACCTGCATCGTATTGCAGACACCTGACCCGCCGTCCTTCATTTATTGGTGAGTTTAATTGGACTTCCGGGAATCGAATTGACGTGGGAAACGGTAAATGGCGAAGTTGACGCGACGCGAGGCGAACGGAACTTCCGGCGATGGGCAGCGAAATCTTCCGCGACTTTCTCCCGTGGATCGCGTCGGATCATCGGGACGATTCTCGATTACATGGTAAAATGAATGCGGCACACCGATGGCTGATTGGCAGATGGAAAATCGTCGCTGGATCGGAATTGCTTCCTTTCTTCTCGTTGCTTTCTCTGTTGATTGAACGGTCGAATGATTGAACTGTGAAAAGTTCATTGTTTGACAAAGAATGGCGAAGTAAGAGGGGACGAAAGTGGATCAGGGACTGCAAGCTTCTGTGTGAATTTAGATCGTTTTAATTATCGATTTGACCCCGAAGGAAAGTGTGTTTGTCGTAATGTTGCTGGGTTCTTTATTTTATTTTTTATCGTACCGTTTCGATGACTTCTTTGGATCACGAAGTCCTTTAGATGTATTAGAATATTTATTAAGTTCGTAGGAAAGGTATCACGTGGTTTATCACTGTGCTTGAGAATTCCTAAATTCCTTTTATGAATCCTTCTGTTGTATGGATTAAATTGGAGTCTTGTAGGAAAAAAGTGTTCGAGATTTTTCGAAAGCAAAGAAAACATATTTGAATAATTTAATTGCACGAATA